ACCAGGGTAAGGCGGGAGCTCCATAGCAATAGACGCTCGCTCTTCCTCTTCTGCATGCCATGCTTTACGAGCATATGACATAAGCTTAGATGTAGGAGGCTCGAGTGTTAGTTTTCGTCGAGCCCGCTTATCATACTCAGCTTCTTCAGTTGAGTCAAGTGCTCTTTTTCCGGTAGCACTTTTACTCCGAGTCTTAACTCTTGAAGGTTCCACTTCATGAGCATCGGGCATCCTAATATCTTCTTGGAACCCCTCTGGTGATTGTCGCCTATCATCTTCAGTAATCGTCTCTTCATATGATAAGTATTCATTAACCCCTCTCGCACGGGACTTTTTGGCACTTCGCTTTGAAGCATACCATTTTCGAATGACTTTCAGGCATGAAGTATTCATATTATAGGCTAAAATTTGAGAAGCAGCCTAATACCAGGTACAGAAGCTTAAAGAGGTGTGAACGTTGGGCGTTTTATGTGGCAACTTGAACTGTGCCCCAGTACAGCCCGCTACCGAATAATACCAAGCTCTTGCTCCTTCATACACATTACTTGTGTACGCAATGGTGGGGTTTGGATTTCCGACATAAATTTGATCATAGCCGAATTGCTGAGAAAAGCGATAAGGCTGATATGGTTCAATGAAGCATTTCCTCCCTTGTCGGAAAATAAGATAGCCCGGGCGAATATTTATAAGCCACCAGAAGACACCTCTACTAAGTGTAGTGAAAGAGTTACGCTCTGGAGTGTCTTGATGGATCTCTCCATATGCACCACCCTCAAAAACAGGGAATTTGCAAGCAATTTCGTAATTATAATCCCGCCTAAATATCTCGTGGAATTTAACCTGATACCAACCAACCCATCGAGCGGTTTCCAATTGTTGAACGAGAGGGACCGAGGTATCATTTGATTCAGGCGTTGATATTATTGAAGGGCAATATAATACGAACCAGGATACCAAGTAGATATATGGCATCGGCACCCGAGGAGTTGGAGTCTGAATGATAGTCTTCCCATCTGATTCTAATTTCTTGACAGCAACAAATTCAGAGGCTAGCTCTCGTAGGTCACTCTGCAAGCAACATACCATGGCCGAAAGGAGATTCAGGGGTCGTCCATAAGCCAGAAGAACAGCTGGATACAGTACATCTACTGTGATAGCATCTACCGGCCTAGTGGGTTCTACGTAATGCTTCAACCAAAGGGTAAGGAAACCTGCAAACAAGCCTGCGTCGGAGATTGGGATTTCTACCTGGTAATGGAAGCTTTCAAATACGGTGAAAGCTGGGAAGACGTCTTCCTCTACCTCGCAAGTATAGTGAGAGGTGGCATCATTGATGCGCTCGTTGATTTCCTCCAAAGTACTGACAGCTAAACGAGTCACTTCCGCATCTTTGTCCCACAAATTTCGGAAAAGGTACTCTGCCCATTGCCCTTGTTTCACACCACCGGCTCTCTTCTCGGTAGTTTGTGCACATATTTGGAAATGGCACATTAATTCCCAATAAGTGTCATAGATTTTCGGGGCACCATGCTTCAGAATCTCTAATTCCCTATTCCCAGGAACAAATTTCTCATAAGACAATTCTTCAAAAGACAATCCAGAGATCTCAAACATCTCATGAAGAGCAAAGCCTAATTCATTAGCAGGTGTGAAAAGGTACCGGTGTGAGGATTGTAAAATTCCAGCATAACAAAAAATCTGCTATAATTTGGAGAAATCCCATACTGAGTAGCTAGTATTGGAGTCCTCAACTCCGAAGTCCTCAAAGGTTCTTCCAGCTCCTCTAAGACAAAGTTTATCATCCGAGCCCACCAATCGGTTTCACTTGAATGTACCCATGTTGGAGCCCTGAAATCTTGAGCAGGGAATTCTTCTTTGACAGAGATAAACTTTCTAATAAAGACCTCCGCTAGCTTAGTAGGTTCACCTACCGGATGCTCCTTTTTGAATGAATATGGTTTCAAAGCTACAAAGTGGTTAAAGCCAGCCGGATGAGTACCACAGGGGTGATGTGCCCAGTAGCAACACCTCCTTGATCTTGGACGAGTTCCCAGTTCATGGACCGTGGGACAGAAGCGCATTGATAATAGGAAATCGGCCACATTCGCTCTAAGTTGGGTAGAAAGAGGCGACGATTATTGATGGCTCTCAGCTATTTATAGTTTCCCTCAAACATCCGTTTGGGGTCCATTTTGACAGAGTCCCAAAAAAGGAAAGACGGTTTCTTTAAAATCTCACGTTCTGCCGTCTCAAACTTAGCGTCTGTAACCAAAGATCTGAGGGTTTCAGGGAAAGCCTGAGTGATGAGTTTCGCTCGTTCTTTGTTGGTATCCTGGAATATCGGATATTCTAAGTGAAAGCTAACAATTGTGTTTTTCTCCGCACCTCCCGCATGACCGAAGTAATGGTTGAAAGAAAGAGGCTCATTGGAGTAGTTTTTCTCCGCACCTCCCGCATGACCGAAGTAATGGTTGAAAGAAAGAGGCTCATTGGAGTAGCACACTTCAAATGGAAAATGTAATCAGTCAGTCTAACAAAAGGGTTTGATTCAAGAACACATGGTCCAGACCCACGTCCAAAATTCTAAACGCAGGGTCCATACCTGATTCCAAACACAGGGTTCAAACCCACATTCAAAATCCGAAACGCAGGATCCGAGCCTGCGTTGAAGTATCATGAACGATGGAGTTAACCATGCGTTCTAAACCGAGAAACACTAAGAATTATCTCTGTGTTCTAATGGCGGAATGCGAACTACCAATCAAAGATTGAGGATAAGGAATCTGTCAAAACAATTTACGATTGCCAAAACTTATCGTTAATCGAAGAAACCGAAGACGACGGCGCGGCGGTTTGAACATCCCCGGAGGTTTTAGTCGAAGGAGCACCCTGAGCTTGGGCGATCTTTGATTTGGAAGCAATTTTCTTCTTGGGAGCCATCCTAATTGCGGCGAAGAAAATAGAAAACGGTTGACGTAGGATCTTAGAATGATTTTTTCCTTCGATTGAAGCACCGGAGAAGATGAACGGGAACCATGTTAAGTGTTCAACAAGAGAGTAAGAAGAGAAAAGTCGAATGACTTTTGATTTGACCAGCGATTTGTTTATATATAGTTGTAGCGGTCAAATCAATGCGAGATTCTAGGTAAAAGAAAATCTCACCCGAAACGTGATTTTCGCGTTTTCAAATAGGTGGTTTCAATCTCCAAAACGGACCCTCACATTCTGATAAATCAAACGCATGATTTAGCCATGTGTTTTGGTGCTCGGACTCAGTCGTTCGCGCAACTCACCCTTTCAAATGGTTTAACATTCCAACTAAGAGTAATGACGATATTGTTAAAATCATCACCCCATTTGAGATGATCAAGAAAGGAGACAAAGTGGATTCTTATGAGGTTGTCCTCTTGCCAAACTTGGATAAAATCCTTCTCGACCACGACGATGGGTCTGTCTTCAGCCAAAAGGTATTTAACTTCATTGAAGAAGACCTCGTTGATAAGTTTGCAGTGTGTGTTTCTACCATAAGCTTCGTTATTATGCCCGCAGCCACGCGTGGAGTGTTCATTAATTCCTACAAGAATTTTCTGGACAACTGAATACATCTCATTGCAGATTGAGTGGAGTATCTCAAGGACCCGTACGAAACCCGAAGAATACACCTCATCGCAGATGGAGTGGAGTATCTTAAGGATCCAGAAAAGATCGTTATCATCTTCATCACAATGGGCTTTAGCTTGTTTGACTAAGTTCATTGTCATCAAGGCACAAAAGTTACATTATTTGTTTTGAGGAAGTTGAATCACTACGTTCCGACAACCAGGTTCGTGATGTCTTCAAATCAGACAGAGTGAATGATCAAGCAACAATATCTCGGGATCCAAAGTATTCCGAAAATTCGTCCCAGTCAACCGTGAACTTTCGAAACTTTGGAGGGGGTTCTGTAGGCTGTTTAAAAATCACAATAGAGAGTTGACCCCTGTCAAACATCAACCAACAGTTCTAGCTAAGAAGGTTACAATCAGATGACTTTCATGTCAACAAAGGAAGGCTACAATTGGAGGATTCTCATGTAGATTAAGAAGAGATTACAAGTCAACAATTTCTTCAAATCGAGGTGCGGAATTCATCCCTGCATCCCAAAGTTAAAATACAAGTGATTACGTTCCAGAGTCAAAGCAACGCAATCACCACATCTTTAGCTACCAACGCAACTCAAACACAACATAAACGCAGTGTCTTCAGCCACTGAACGCAGCACAAACGCGGTACCGATTCAACCGCGGACGCAGCTCAAACTCAGACGCTGACGCATCATCCAAAAGCATGCGTTTGAACGCAGGTTCATGCCCAGAACGTAAATCATGGCTTGGACTCGTTCAAACATGATCCAAACAGTTCCCAAAACCGTTTTTCACCCATGATCTGGGGAGTGGTTCGAGTGGGTTGTTACACCCGATTAATGGGGCGACTAAACCTCCATTTAGGAGTGGATTAAGGGGGCAGTTACACCCCTAATCTCTATATAAATCCTAACAAACTCCACAGAGTGAAGGGATCAGATTTTTATGATCTGAGGAGGATTCTTTCGGCTAGAGTTTTGGAGATCGAACTTCCAAAAGTCAAGATCAAGGGCTGGGGCTTGGAAGGCATTCTTCAGCAACAAAGAATTCATATACTTGGTGTATTAACTGATTATTCGGTTCAAACAACTCTTTTGACAGAGTTTTGCACTCATTCTGAGCCATAAAACTTGTGAAGAGTTCTCCAATTGTTCCAGTGAAACAAGACGTTCGTATCGTCAACGAAAAGCAAACTCGACGCAAGCATTCGAGAGAGGCATCTCATCGCTACCGTGAAGAACCCAGATTTAAACAAAAGGGAGAACTCAGATCAATTCTCCTTTCTTTTGTAATCAGAAAATTCAATTGTAATCGAGATCGAGAGAATACAAATCAAATTTCTTTCATTCCTTTTACTACAAATTTTCCACCAAACAGGTACAAAACATTGTAAAGAACAGAGAAGTGCTCATCAAGGCACTTTCTTCTCTCGGAGAAGATGCAGGTAAAGGTGGAGAAGGGGCTACTTACCTCTGGCGAAAGCTCCCTGATAAAATTCTCTATTGATTTCGAGGTTGTTAGGTGGCTTGGAAGAAAGCACAGTGTAATTGTAGTCCCTGGTAGTGCCAGTGGTGGGCCTAGGTACATTCGAATATCTCTTGGCGGGCTCAAGGAGGCTGACTGTGAAGTTGCTGCTCAGAGGCTGAAAAGGGGGCAAGAGGAGCTAGTTCGAGATCGAATGGTATAGGAGTTGCTGTTATTGGTATAATACTACGATCTTAAATAGAATCTATTTAAGTTTTTCTAGAATAAGATGTTGATTTGGAGATGTAAGATTTGGTCACCTTCATTGTGCGAAGCCTGCCCGTGTAAAATTTGGTCATTCAGGTTTTCATTCCTGAAAATGTCAAATATTGCTCTCTGAAACAAGAGAACATACAGTTTCAATGATACTTCTATGGTTACACCACTGTTTATCTTCTGTATGTAATGTGATGCACTTTTTTATCTTCAACATCCCCAAGATTGTAAACTCTAGAATTTATGATTATTTCTTATACGCGAGGAGTGATCGACTGTCAGTTCAGGAGGGAGAGGATTATATAGAGACATGAAATTTGAGATAGTTTTTTTTCCAAATTAATTGCAAATAGACCCCCTATAGTATTGTTGCTTTGAACTTATTACTCTTGCAATTCCATTGTTGCAAATAGGCCGCCTAGTTAAATTTTTTTTGACTCTTTTAATTTGGATGAAATATTAGACGATATTACCAACGTGTGAAATTGGTGACTAGAGAGTCTATCTGAGGGTTTAAGAGTAAAAATTGTCTTAACTTGGGGGTCTATCAGCAACAACACTAAATGTTAGTAACTTCAAAACAACAATACTACATAGAGCTCTGTGCAAATAATCCTTTCCATAAATACGGTCAAACAAAGCAAGCGAAGCGATTTACAGAACGAAAAGGCTTGAGAGCCTAAAAGATCCTCAAGTACCATTTTGCATTACAAGAAGTTCCGTTCTTTGTGTATAACATCAATTATTGATATTCATGCGACTCTCCCATTAGAGCAATTTGATTATATTATTACATTACGACACAAAAGAGAATATGATTATTATTATTAAATCAGAATGGTAAAGTCTCTGGCTGGTATATTCAAATTATTGAGTGTTAATTGCGGATGGACACCCTTACAATGTTCTGTAGTTCTATTATTACATATAGACCCCTGAGTGAAAATTTTTAATTCTTTTACCTTCAGAAGGTCATTTGTCAAGGAAAAAAAATTAATTTCTCCGAGAGTAAAAGAGTAAAAAGAGTTCCGCTCGGGAGTCAAGTCTGAAAGAATAGAACCACAAGGGGTTTCTGTACAATTAACCCTTATCTATATTCTATGTGGCATATATAAATCTTGAGGTATATACCCTGTTTTGACAGGGCACTTAAAGATTTGTGTCAGAAGTTAAGACTTGAATGAGACTCCCTTAAAGAGGAAAAAAAAATACAAGTACACTTTGATTGATTCTAAAGTTCAAAATGAATGCCACATGTTGTATCGAGATTCAATAGAATGAGAGGCGAAGATTTCCCGAGTCTAGAAATCTATCTATCAACAACTCTGGTTTCAAAGCCAGCAAGTGATCAACATTGAGCCAAAAAGTCATTGACCTAATTGAACTGCATTAAAGACCAAATGAATGCAAAGAAGTAAAAAGATGGTGGGAGTAAATGAAATTATGAGGCTTTTCTATTCAATGCTGGTGAGCAGCAAAGCATATGCGTGTATTCATTATTAGAACGAGCTTTCCGTTAGGTGAAGCAACATTATATGTTTCTGATCTGTAGAAGATTGACTCAATAATGAAATCACAAATTATTTCAGAGGGTACTACTGGTTAATGTGCTGATGCTTATTAATTTTCACTGTATGTTAATTTATTATGCGACAGGGGTAGTTATTGATCGTTGGGTGAACTGTTATTAACCCCATTCAATTATTTACAGGCTATGGAAACAAAACCTCTAGGCTATGTGAACTGTTATTAACCCCATTCAATTATTTACAGGCTATGGAAACAAAACCTCTAGGCTATCTCCTGTATCTTTTCAGATGAGAATCCTTCTTCCTCTGTTCACATTTGAGTCTTTTTGGCCATCTAATATGATGTTCCTCTCATACATGGTTGGGTAAATTGTTGAATAGCAAGTTCCTAATATGTTTTGGTAACATGTTATTGGGATTCCTAATCTGTTTTGGTAACAGGATTCCTAATCTGTTTTGATAACAAGTTATTTGGATTCCTAATCTGTTTTGATTTTGGTTTTAGAATTCCTAGTATGCTTTTGGTTTTAGGATTTCTATATATATAGGAACATGTTTTAGGTTTGGAGAGCAGCAAATTGGGGATATTTGGAGCACAGAAAAGAGATATTTTCTGAGCTATTGGTTAGGGTTTTGTTTGGAGAGAATTAGAGATTTGTTGGTGAGATTAATTTGTGAGTTTGAGTGATTTATAATATCATTTTTTGTACTCTTCTTCTCTATTAGTGAAAAACTATATCTCATTCTTGCCCCATGGACGTCGATAACTTGCCGAACCACGTTAAAATTGGTTGTTTGAGTTTGTGCCGTTATTTTGCATTGTTTGGCCTTCTCTCGGCTTTTGTTTGATTTGGTCTCTCGAAGCACATCGGTTTGGATTTGGCTTCCGTTGTGCACAACAAGTGGTATCAGAGCTTGGGCTATGCTTGGGCTAATTGGAAGAGTAGATCGCTTTGGAAGTTCGTCTAGGGCTTCAGTTGGTGATAAAGATGGGATTTTTCCTATTTGTGGATCTCGTTTCCATCGTGCAGGGTGATATCTTTCGGAGGCTCTTGTTAGGGTTTCAATTGGAGGTAAAAATCTCTCATTTATCAGTTTGGATCTATTCTTCGTTTGTTCCACATTGGTTTGTTGGTGTTTTGAGATAAATGACTGAGAAAGAAGGAGTTGAGACTGGGATATTGGATTATTGAGAAGTGTCTTGACCTACATATTGAAGTCCTTTGAGCACATTGGTATGAGCAAAGAGACCGAGGTGGTGTTTAGCACTTCTATTCGATGATTGATAGGTCTTCTAGGTGGTGTTCATTCAGGCATTTGGGGACCTTCTAAGGAGGCATCATTAGGAGGTAATCGGTATTTGGTTTTCGTAGTTGGGGATTGTTCTAGGTATTAGTGGGTTGTAACCAAGTCCCGTTAGTTGTAAAGTCCTAGAAGTCAACAACAGATGGAGGGAGTGTATTGGCAGAAAGGTAACCCGTTGTTCTATTTTTGGTAGAGGTTCTTTCTTATATTTGTGCCGAGCTCATGGCAGTTTGAGACACTTCATTAGAGAGGAAATATTGGGGGTGACGAAATGAGATGACAGTTTTGATGGGTCGTTCATTGCTGGAAGAGGATCGGTGTTGGTTGTCGAGCATTGGATTGCAGAGGAGTTTTAGAGCTTCGACATATTTGGGTCATCTTAGTCATAAATTACCGACTGTTGCGTTAGAGATTTTGGATCTGGTGGAGCTGCTTCAGATTTTGGGTTACGTTGGATGTTTGGTTGCCCAATATTTGGTCACATCGAGGATGTGAGATTTGATCTGATTGCGCATTTGGGATTCAGAGGCTTGTTTGGTTATCAGTTGGGAGACTCTGATTTGGTTCTGGGTAGGTATGTCACTTTTGACTCTCGGCAGGTGGAGAGTGTTGATTAGATCGTTAGGATATCGCAGCGGGTGGAGGGTTATGCTACTCCACGTTAGGTGGAGATTACTCCACGTTAGATCGAGATTACTCCAAATCATACTGCATGATTTGGGATTCCAGCTGAGGTGACACAGTTTGGGAATCATTTAGATTTGGATGCAGATGATGAGTTGGTTGATTCGAGTACAGCTGGTGGACATAGTTTCAATTTGGATATGACTGTTGGTTCATCTCAGATGAAGGTGTTTAGTTTGTTTCATTTTGGGGTCATTGGGAGAGCTATCAGTTATAGATTCGTTGATGATATCGGTGAAGAGTTGAGAACTCTTCTATTGGATTGAGGGTCTTTGGAGGTCATTGGGGGAACTACGTGAATGCTTGATTCCTTGGGCAAGATGATACGTAGGTAGTCATTTATGATGCAGCCAATTTGGTGAGTAGATACCGACGTTTAGAGAGTGGTCACATTCTCGTTTGGGTCTCGACTTGTTGTGGATTGAGTCCGTTCTTGTGATTTTGTTTCACTTCGTACTGAACGCAACAAGTGAGACATTTGTTTGGTGTTGGTGTCGGCTCAGTTTTGGAAAAACTTCGCCGAGGTGGAGAATTATTGAATAGAAAGTTCCTAATATGTTTCTTAATATGTTTTGGTAATATGTTATTGCGATTCCTAATCTGTTTTGGTAACAGAATTCCTAATCTGTTTTGGTAACAAGTTATTAGGATTCCTAATCTGTTTTGATTTTGGTTTTAGAATTCCTAGTATGCTTTTGGTTTTAGGATTATTGAATAGTAATGGGGGTTTACTGCAATATAGTTTTTTTTTATTACCCAAAAAGAAAATAACAATAGAAATTGAAAGAACAAAGGACACTCAAACACGACAACGTGACAACAACTTGACATCAAGCATTTATATATATATAAAGCTATGACACGAAAGGTAACAATGTTGATCTTAAAGAACGAATAACGTGAGATAAGATTCATAAATTAATGCTTATTTCTCATAGTTTCTTCTCTTTAAGGTTTGGGTTTGTAGAAACTTCTATATAGTGGATGTATAGTTTTTGACTTATGGGACACCCCCTGTTCTCTCGAAGAAGCTTTATGAATGGAGCTTCGCTTCGGACATCATAAAATGCTTGCTAGCTAGAAATTAATGGTTCAAAGTCCCCCACAAATTATCTTTTATTGTGCAACACCTCCTTTTGAGAAAGGAAATTAGTTTAAACTAGCTAGCGGCACATCGCTAATGAAGGTTTTTGCAAGCGGACCTGCACATATAATGTTGGGTCGAAACTTACACGTCATGCTATGAGTAAATAATAGAAATTTAACGAACTAACTCAATCTCACGACGCGATCGATATAAGTTAGTTAACAATAAGAGATGAGAGCTACATACTAATTTAGCCTCTCTTTTTTTTGTTATTTATTATTAGAAGCGTATTGTAGCTTGTTGTTCTCTATCTGATGAAGGGTTTCCATCATGAGATGAAGATTTGTGGTCTCCACGTGAAGATAAATGTGTAGGTCTTAGCATGAAAGCTAGCTAGTTGGACTACTAAATATTCAAGGTGGAGAGACCTAGGTCAGCTACTAACATTAAGTAGGTGGTTGAGGCTGGAAATATGGTTCTAAGTTTGGTTACAGTAGGTGAGACT